CTAATGCGAATAAATTTTTATCTCATTAATAATGGTCTTGCAATTAATTTTAAATGCTTGATTAATGATTTTACAAGTCCATTTTGAGCATGTATATATGTTATAGGATGCTTAATATCAATTTCATGTCTAAATCATTAAAAGCTTGAGATATAAATTCACTAAGATTCAAGATTATTTTCTTGAATAATTAGGAAAATAAGCTCTTAAATGAATTATTTGAGCAAGCAATCTTGCAAATGCCTAGTTGCGTGTTGATAATAAATAAATATGTGACCATCTAGTTGACACATCAATTAAAACCATAAATATCTAAATGGTTCATATAATGATTATATTGGTCCACATATATCGCTTTCTGTACATTTCAAAAATTATGATCGATTAATTAATTTTTTTTTGGAAACAAGCAACACATGATAATATATTAGATTGAAGAATTTGTTGATTCTTCAATGAATGTTTATACGAATTTTTAATTATTTTTAGCATCATGATTGATCTAAATGGACTATCTGTTCATCCAAAAATAAAAATATCATGAATCATAAACTTTTGATTTAGTTAACGTGTATTTCAATTGTATTTATATATGTATATCATAAAGTATAAGAAAATAAAGGTAATTTTTCTAAAACACATTTTTATTTAGGATACTTTTTATGATATAAATGTATCTACTCTTCCTTCATTTGTTGTTTTAATATGATATCCATTTATGTGAATATTCTTGAAATTTAATAAATTTCTATAAGACTAAGTGGAATGCACTAACAATGTCTAATTTTCTTCGATTAGATAATAATATATTAGCTCTAATAATATCTTCAATAGTTTTTATATTATTGGAAATATTAGCTTTTTGCATTACTAAATAAGAAAAATATTTTTTTCTTTAAAAATTATGTGAGTTGTTACACTATCAACAAGGTATGTCTTTATTGTTAACGTCGACTAAAAAAACATTCATTCTTTATTGTAAAAAAGAATAAATAAATAAATAAATTTAGATACTCAAAAATTGATTAAAAAATTAAATTTATTTATTTACAATTACTATATTAATAATTAAATGTAAATAGTAACTATATGAGTAAAAGAATAATTCTAACACTTGATAATTTGCTTTATTTTTTTTTAATTTCTGATAGAAAAAATATATTAACCTTAAATTAACATATAAATAAAACGCATAATGACTCAATAACATGAAATAAATTTTTCCTGTATTGATTGAACATATTTAATAATATCATAAATATATATAAAAATAAGTTAAATATAAACTAAATATTATGATTATCAAAAGAAAAAAAAACATATATGTAAAAATAAAATTAAACATTTTATTAATAAATAAAAAAATCAACAGTGCATAAGATTAAATAATAGTTAAGTGTTGTAAAATATAAATTACTAGTAAAATGTTTTGTAGACAGAAGTTTAGAAGTTTATAAGTATAGTAATTTAAATTAAAACAAATAAGTAATAATATCTTTTTATAAGAAAAAAATTGATCATACTTTCTTTCAAGACCATAAAATTTCTTGTAAAAATGTGTATTAGAGTACGGTATTGACAAGGTATTATTAAATAAACATAAAATTAAAATAGATAAATAAGAAAATAGAGAGAAAATTAAAAAAAAATCTCAATTTTATTTTATATATTTTAATATAAATTAGATATTTTATTTATAAATCTAAATCTATAATGTATTAGAGTATGGTATTGATAACGTATTATTAAATAAACATAAAATTAAAATAGATAAATAAGAATATAGAGAGAAAATTAAAAAAATATCAATTTTATTTTATACATTTTAATATAAATTAGATATTTTATTTATAAATTTAAATCTATAATTTAAGAATTTGATCTTTTTAATTATGAATTAAATGAATAATTGTAATATCTTATGTTTCAAAAAACATAAGAAGGTAGAAAGATGTATGTCTACTCATAATAATTTGTAATAATTTTAATTAACAAACTATAAATAATAGATGAGCAAAAAATTTAAAACTGCTATCTCATAAATATAAAAATAGGTAAACAAGATAAAGTAATTGTTTAAAACTTAAGCATATTATAACTATAGACATTCCTAATAAGAATAATAAATATAAAATCAACTTAGATTAATTTTGACCTAGTAAATAGGTAAATTAGCTAACTAACTGGTTTAAGTAACTTAATAGATTTGATACATAAATTGACAAAAATTAATTTAATTCAGTCAATTTTATAAAATAAAAAAAAAGGTGACTCATTGATTCATTCACATTGAATCGACCAATCATGCATTTTAACATAGTTATTAAACTTAATTTGAATGAGTTCAATTGGTTTATCTGAGACTAGTTAAGTAGTTGGTTTGAGTAATACAAAAAATTGATGGAACAGAAAATCGACAAAGAATTTATTAAAATTGAACAATTTAGTTTAAATCAATTTGTTCAGATTTTTTTATTTTAAAATAATTTTTAAATTATAAAAGTCCATACATGATATTTATATATAATTTTACTATTGATTTAACTATTTATTATATTTTTTATCTAATAAAATATGCAATACCATCATTTTATGCTATTTTAAAATTTTAGTTGACTTACTTAATACATTATATAATACTAAAATTATATACTTTATTATTATCCGTACAAGTGTAATTCAACCTTGATTCAATCAAAGAAAGAACTGTGAATTGAAGCTCCAAACAAAGAAAGTGAGAAATCTTTTGAGGCTAGTCGTTGTCCACACCACTTGTGTGAAGCTCAAAACCCAGAAGCTCAACTAAACTCATAAACGTTATAAATAGATTCAAAATGTATTGTAAAGTGGCTAAGAATTGATTGCCTGTCAAGTGTATTACTAGACTTGCTCGTATGATGTATTGAGAGACAACTAAGATTGACTTGACTAGTTAAAAACATTCCATTCATACTTTGTTTCAAAATTATTTTAGCAATATATGTTGGAAAATAGTTTTATATTATTTAATAATATATTTAAAATTTTAAAGAATCGTGGAAGATACATTTCAGTTTTTGGAAATTTTAAGCGTAAATAAATTAATTTTTTTATAAAAAAATATTTTTTATTTTTTAATATTTATTTTTGAATATAAACTAAATATTTGATAAATTAAATTATTTAACTAAAAAATTTAAAATTATATATATTTATATACTTATTTTATTTTATACATTCAATTTAATTGATTGAGTTAATAACTCAATCGTTAACTTAGTAATCTATTAACTCTTAGTTAGGGATAGAAACAGGTTAGGTCAGACTTTACTCTAAACATGTCTGCCCTGTAACATAATTATTAGGCCTGAGCCTAACCTGTTACATATTAAAGGCTTTATTTTAGGCCTGACTTGACCTATTTAAGTAATCTAGCCTGACCTAAAGTCCGTTAACAAAGTCTGTTATAAAATATTTTTTTAATATTAATAAAAATAAAAATTTTTATTATCAAATTAGTTTATATTTTTTTAATTTCTATTTATGTTATTAATAATTATTAAATAATTATAATAATATTTAAATAATTTTTAAAATATTATTTAAGCATTAATTATATATATTTTATATTAATAAAATTTATATTTATATTTTTCTTGATTTATTTTTTAAAAATTATATAAATAGTACAGATTTTAGTTTTATTTTAGAAACATATTTTGTTTATTTAAAAACATCTTATATTCAATAAATAAAGTTATAGTAAACACATAAAATTGATAAAAAAAAATAACATTCACATAATTTATTGAATCAATTAAAAAATATTATTATGTTTTAAAAAATAAATAAATTTAAACTTAATGCAATATATATATATATATATATATATAATGACAATAATAATAACTATTAAATTAAAAAAATAATTTCAAAATATTTAAAATTAACTATATTATAACATTAATGTAATATAAAAAAATTACTGATACAGTAAATTAAAACATATACTTATATATTACATATAAATTGATAAATTATTAAGACACGTGCAAGTTACAAAAATATATATTATTATATAATTTATTTATAATTATATTATTTATATTATTTATTACGTGGTCTGATTATATATATATATATATATATATATTATAATAAATTTTTTATTTTATTTTTTATTATTTTTTATAAATTTTTATTTTCAAATAAAATATAATTTATATTTAAGTAATTTCTATTTATTATAAATATAAAAAATTATAACATAATATATTAATATAATAATTAAATATTAATAATAATAAAATTAAAAATATAAAAAATTTATTAAAAGAATATTAATATTTTATTTTTAAATTTTAATTTGTTTAGTTTTGATCGTGTCTTATTCTTCTTTAGTTTATTTAAATATAACAAATATAATAATTTATGATTAGATAAATTTATTTTTTAAACACGTGTAATTGTATATAAATATTTTTAGTTTCAAATATAATATAATTTTTATTTATTATAAATAAAAAATTATAACATAATATATTAATATAATAGTTAAATATTAATAATAATAAAATTAAGAATATAAAAAATAAATTAATATAATATTATTATTTTATTTTTAAATATTAGTATCTTTAATTTTGATTGCGTTCTAATTTTATTCGAAGACCTTGCTGCTCTTCAGCTTGTTCAAACAAATATAATAATATACCTTATATTTATATTCAAAGTAAACATAAATAATCATAAAACAAGGATAAAAAATAAGTGCGTCAATTCAAATAAAGTTCAACAATATAGCAAAGATTTATAATTAATAACAACAATCTAATAACATTACATCACCAAACTAAATCAAATTACAATATCCAATAAATTAGCATCAAATCTTTAAAATGACCTCATCTTCTTCTTGAAACTCAAGTACCTTGAAAAAAATAAAAGAAATTACTCATATTATTATATCATGACATAATTTAACAAATATAAGGATAAAATTACATTTTAATATATAAAATTTATACCTTTTGTATTTTCTCCAAATTATACTTGTTGTGAAGCCAATCCCCACCACAAACGAGTGCTGCAATGGATTCTTCATTCAATCTTAAACGAAATTCATCAATTACTCTTCCTCCAGCACTAAATGTGGACTCTGATGCAACTGTTGAAATTGGAATAGGTAGAATGTCAGTAGTCATCTTTGATAGAATCTTATACTTCAAGCTATTATTTTTCCACCATTCCAAAGCACTAAAAGAGTTGGTAATAGAATCAGGAATACAAAGACCTTCCTCAAGATAAACTTCTAACTCATATTTCATTGGAGGAATTGCTTGCTTTTCACGAACAATACTCATAATTTGGTCAAATCCAGTAACTAAGCCAGAACTAGGGACATTGGAGGAAGAGTTGTTGCCACTATTATCAACTTCACCACTAATGCTAGCAAATGTCTCTTCCTTGCTCAATTGAACATACTCTTCATAAAGCATCTCCAATGAAGTCATCACCATATCCACATTCTCTTTAGCCACATATTCAGGTTTATATATCAAGGGAAAACAATAATTGACAACATAAAGTTTGCATCTGGGATCCAAAACACTTGCAATAGCTATTAGTAGATTGCATTCCCCCCAATATTTATCAAATTTAACTTTCATTGCTACTGCCATTTCTCTCATAAAGTAGTCTTCATCCTCAGCTGCTTTATCAACTACTTGTTTGACCCTCCAAACTTTAGGAAGATATAAATTTGTAGTTGGATAATCACTACTAGAAATGACATGAGTGGCCAAATTAAAAACCTCTAAGAGTTGACAAACCTTCTCAACTTTTTCCCAATCTTCTTGAGATGGTTCATAAGTGTAGTGTGGCTCTCTTTTCTTATAAGGTGGAAAAACAATTTTAAACTTTAAGGCAGCTGACAACATTTTGAAAGTTGAATTCCATCTCATTGGACAATCAAGGATGAGCTTTTTCTTCTTTCAAGTGCTTCTGCTCAACAATATCACAAAATGCCTTCAACCTTGAATCGTTGTAATTAATATACTTGACACTCTCCCAAATATTGTGAATGATATCCTTTATTTTACCAAGGCCATACTGGACCAATAGATTTAGAATATGAGCGCAACATCTGACATGAAACAATTTGCCATCAAGGACTAACTTATTATTAAGTGATAAGTTGCCCTTAAGATTCCTCAAGCATGAATCATTGTAGGAAGCATTCTCAACAGACACAGAAAATACTTTGTCTTCAATCCCCTAAACTTTAAGACACTTGAAAATAGCATCTGCTACATCATCTATTCCGCGTCTAGGAGCAGGCACTTTCATCAAATTGAGGACCCTCTTTTGAAGATTCCAACCCGCATCAATGAAATGACCTGCGAGGACCATATATTCAGTTACTTGGTGACTCGATTTCCACATATCTGTAGTTAAGCTGATTTTGTTCACACCTTTCAACAAAACCTTCAAGTTTTTCTTCTCTGCCTCATAAATTTTTATGCAATCACTTCTAGCTGTTTTGCGAGACACTTTGCTAAATTCAAGATTTGCATATTGGAAGCCCTATGTCCAAACTTCATCCTCAACAATGTTGAAAGGGTACTCGTGCACCATGATTGTTGTTGCAATTATTTCTCTCATCTTCTCATTTGAATATCTCACACCAGGTATCACAAAAGGGTTGACTCCTAAGTTGGAGGGTTGAAATGGAATGGTGGGCTGCTTCTTTTGTGAGGCTATGTGTAATTTTTTTTTCAAGCAATTCTCTGCATGTCTCTTCATATGACTAGTGCTAGCTTCCTTTCCACTATGAGAAAAATATTTAATTTTATTTGTTTTATTAATTTGTTATTTTAAATTAACAAATAAATGTAAAATTAACTACACTATAACATTAATGTAATATAAGAAATATTACTGATACAATAAATTAAAATACATATTTATATATTATATATAAATTGATAAATTAACTAATAATTTAATTAAAATATGTGCAAGTTACAAAAATATATATTATTATATAATTTATTTATAATTATATAATTTATTTATAATTATATTATTTATATTATTTGTTACATGGTCTGATTATATATATATATATATATATATATATATATATTATAATAATAAGTTTTTATTTTATTTTGTTATCATTTTTTTTATAAATTTTTATTTTCAAATAAAATATAATTCATATTTAAGCAATTTCTATTTATTATAAATAAAAATAATTATAATATAATATATTAATATAAGAATTAAATAATTAAATTAATAATAATAAAATTAAGAGTATAAAAAATATGTTAATATAATTTTATTATTCTATTTTTAAATTTTATTTTGTTCAATTTTGATTCCGTCTTATTCTTGTTTAAAGACTTAACTATTCTTTAACTTGTTTAAATATAACAAATATAATAATTTATTATTAAATAAATTTATTATTTAAAAAGTATAATCATGTATAAATATTTTTAATTTTTAATAGAATATAATTTCTGTTTATTATAATTATAAATAAAAAATTATAACATAATATACTAATTTAATAATAACAGAATTAAGAATATAAAAAATATATTATTAAATAACTTTATTATTTAAATATATTTTAATAGCTCTATTATTAAATTATATTATATATATATATATATATATTTATTTATTTGTTTATACAGGCCAGCCTGTCAGGCTTAACAGACTTTATAAACAACTCAGGCCTAATTTTCTTTTACTTAAATAGGTCTTAAAAAAAAGCTTAAGTCTGATTTGTTTATTAAAAAAACCAAGCTTAAATCAGGCAAGACCATATGTCTCTGTCAGGCGGTTTGACCTGTTTCATCCCTACTCATAGTATCAACTAAGTTATATATTACTTGTATGAAAAATAAGGACTAATTTTGTATAATAACTACCTTTTATTTTATTATAACTAAGTGTATTTACAAGTTGGGTTGAATTGAATATTTATATTTTTTATATATAATTTGAACCAATCTGATCTAATTATAAACGTATTAGTTATCAAGTAATCAAGTCTTTATATAAAAATAAAAGTATTTTTATAATTTATAAAATTTAACAATTATCAAGTTAAATTAAAATAATTCATTATTATTTATAGATAAAATCAATTTATATTTAAATAATAAATTATTTATTAAAAATATACTTTAAAATATAAATATAATAAAATAATTTTTTTGTATTAGTGTTGGTTCGAGTTCATAAAGTCTAAAAAGACAAACTTAATACCTAAATTCAACCCATAAATAATTGGGTTGGTATTTCTAAGATCTAGTAGTCAAATTTAATTACCCAGGACATGAATACTCTTAATTATAACATGAGGAAAAGATAAACTTCAAACGCAAATGACACAATAAGCATGAACTAATAACAAATGATTCAACTTATATGGAGTAGAATTCAGCACCATAAAACCTTAAATTTGAGAGGTACCAAGCTTTGCCAAAAAACTTTAAATTTGAGAGGTACCAAGCTTTGTCAAGAAATCATAAATATGAAAGGGACAAAACTCACATCTTTAATTTTAGAACGTTAATTATTGTTCATTCTCATGTTGTCTTATAAAGATGAATAAATATTTCATTTACGCTTTGTTTGGGAGGAATGGGAGGGAAAAATAAGAATTATGTGATGTAATTCCTTAGTTGAGAGATTTTATGAGAGGGAGAGAATTTATAAATTCTTGTAATAATATGTTTTTAAGTTTTTCAAATTTGAAGGAATTCGTATTAATCCTTTTTCCTGTCCCTTCTCTTTTCCTTTCTTTCCCTTCAAACACTTTCATTCTCTCTCCCTCCAAACTTCCAATCAAAACCTCAAATGAACAAAGGAATTATAAAGATGCATATAATGGAAAAGTTTAAATGCATCCTTAGTGGCAAGATCATGTATACCTAATTAAATTCTCCATGTTATTCGCACCAAGTTGTTCTAGGAACCAATTATAAGTGGTATTTAGGGCTCATCTTATTCTAGTTAATTTAATCATACAAAAAAAAGTGTCAAAATAATTAACTCCTTTAAGTTGTGTGTAGCCTTTTGGCACTAGTGGAACTTTATACCTCTCAATACTACCATTTGGCAGAAATTTAATTTTACAAACCCATTTGGATTCAACGAGAGTTTTATTAAGTGGAGGATCGACGTGTGTCCAATGTTGTTTTGCTCTAAGGCATGTATATTTGTACCCATCGCTTGCTAGGCTTGGGAATAAGTTTGGAGCTCAATCAAGAAAGAAGTATTAAGACAAAAAGATTTATACTAAGGAGAATACTTATCGATGATAAGAGATATAAAATAAAAGAGGAATTATCTTAAGAATAATTAGCAAAATAAATAACAAATAAAGATTTGTTATAGTCGCTGAAGTAATGTTAGGTAGTTGGACTTGAACCCATGTCAAGATTGGGTAAACACACCATCAATTGGCTAACCACTGGGGATGATGGCATTACAGGAATTACCTTGAGAATAACTAGCAAAATAAACAACAAATAAAGGGTTGTTATAGTCCCTTAAGTAATGTTGGGTAGTTGGACTTGAACCTACTTCAAGATTGGATAAACAATGGAGATGATGGTGTTGGTAATGCTATCATTAGTACCGAATCCACGACAACATTGATACTGTCTCTACCACTCTCTGGGTTAACATTATTACTATCACTTGGATTTCTTGAATTAGCATTCCTATAATTATTACTCCTAACTTTGTTATTATTACTAGCCATGGCATGACATCCTCTTCGTAACAACATGCATCAAAAGTAGCAACATTCAAACAAAACACACTAATAAATGTCACACCAGGCATGCCAATTTGTTATGATAAAAATTGTGAACAGTAAACAAATAAATTTAAGAGTAATCTAGGATTGAATTTTAGATCATCTTTGGACTCTTTTAAGTGCGTTCTTAAAAGGTGCTTTTCGTTGTACCAAACTAGCTTGGGTCTTTACCAGAATTCATTGCACATTTCTCATTGCACTCTCTGAACCTCATAGTCGGCTTTTTGATTCCTCTAGACCCTTCTCCAATGGGTCTTAGTCGTAGAGAACCTGTAATAAGGTCTTATTGCATGAAAATAATTACCCAGTGGGTTATAAAGCCCAGGTTGAGTAAAAACCTTTGGCTATGAGTAACCTTTTGGCTGGGAAAAAACTCTCAGTTGAGACAGTCCACTCATCTCGACCATTTGTCATTTTGGTTGACTCAAAGATGGATGTAAAATATTCTGAACCCATTTATTACTCAAAACATTCTGAAGAGGTACGAAGGTTTTAACATTGTTATCTGGACCTGATCTTTGAGGAATTTGGGGATTCCATATAGTTATAGAAGCATTTAGAGTTTGGATCCTCTTATTCTTAATGATCACTTGGTTAGTGGTCACCTAGTAATGTTTTCTCATTTCAGATTCTTCAAAAACTTTTGTTGTTGCTTTGTTGAAGATAGTGCTACATCTTGGATACAACATGACTTCACTATCTTTTTCTTTCTAGTTAATAATTCAAGAAAAGTATCTTTAGCTCTTGAGAAAACCTTAGCATTTTCCTTCTTAAAATTCTCCAGAACTATGTCCAAAGAATCTTTTTTTTTTAAACTCTTCTACAATCATGTCAAAGATATCATTTTCTTTGTGATCTTCCACACTGACCATTAGTATGTTGAAAGACTCCACAAAGCTAGCCTCCACTTGCAATGGATCAAAGTCAATTTTCATAGCCATCTTTGATTTCTACTAGAATTTCGATATTTCTTGCTTAATAGCATTTTGATATAAAATAACATCTAATTATTAACATTCCTAATCAAAATAATAGGTATAAAATCAACTTAGATTAGTCTTTTGACCTAGTAAATTGGTAAGCTAACTAACT